TCTTTTTGGGTCTGGGTTACCTCACTCAGGATAGTGTTTTCTATTTCCATTCATTTGCATGCAAAATTCAAGATATCATTTTTTATACTGCTGAGTAGTACTCTAATATGTATATATTTCACACTTTCTTCATCCATTCTTCCATTGAAGGGCAGCTAGGTTGTTTCCAGGTTCTGGATATTACAAATAATGCTGCTATGAACATCGTTGAACAAATGCTTTTGGAGTATGAAAGGACATCTCTTCGGTATATTCTCAAGTGTGGTATTGCTGGATCCTGGGGTAGGTTGATCCCGAATTTCCTGAGAAACTGCCACACTGCTTTCCAAAGTGGTTGCACAAGTTTGCATTCCCACCAGCAATGGATGAGTGTTCCCCTTACTCCACATCCTCTCCAGCAAAGGCTATCATTGGTGTTTTTGATTTTAGCCATTTTGACAGGTGTAAGATGTTATGTCAAAGTTGTTTTGATTTGCATTTCCCTGATTGCTAAGGGGGTTGAGCATGACCTTAAGTGTCTTTTGGCCACACTGAACTGAACAGGGAATTCTCAACAGAAGTTCAAATGGCAACAACTGTTTTTAATATTTAGAAAACGGAGCAAGAAAAATGACAAATATGATATAACATGCATGGGGGCCTGGCTTGTTTGTTGTTACAGCAATGGGTCTGTAACATGAAGGCTGGCCAGGCTGCTTGTTGTGGTTTCTGTCCCGCCTAGTACCCCACAACTGTTTAGCCCCAAAGAAAATCACACATAGGTCTCCATAAATTATAAGCTGATTGGCCCATTAGCTCTAGCTTCTCAATGGCTAACTCTCACATCTTGATTAACACATTTTTCTGATCTATGTTAGCCATGTGGCTCAGTACCTTTTTCAGTGGAGTAGATCACATCCTGCTGCTTTGGTGATCTGAGCAGGAGAGAGAGGAATCAACTTCCTCCTTCCTAGAATTCTCCTGTTCTCTTTACATCATTTCTACTTCCTATCTGGTTTTCCCGCCTATATTTCCTGCCTGGACAATCAGCATTTATTTATAACATGATTGACAGAATACAGACAATTCTCCCGCACCAATATGATAATCAAGTAACTGTAGTAAATCTATATTTCCAGTAGTCAATAATAAATGAGCTATTCACACACATAACGTAAATACATGTCAAATTAGCTATTCGGACAAACAGAAGACAAAATGTACATAAACACTTCATAGTCACATTGACATATAACCTCTTGAAGAACATATATACAGTAAAATTCGTGGCTGCCTAGGAATTGAATGAAGAGCATGAAGAAGGTAAATTTAGAACTCTGGGGTATGATCTACATCACTGCTAGAGTGGCTTTACAGTACGTACACATATACCAACCTACACAATATAGATCGAGTATGCTGATTACACTCCATAAAGCCTAAAAATAATTAAAATAATTTTCTAGACCACCTAGTTCTACTGTAAAATCAAACAAGTGGACATTAATATAGTAATTCTACCATATCACTGCACATGCCTTAGGAATCCATCTCCCTAGTTGTAAGCAACAAAGGCCATTTCCTCTATAACCAAGAATTCTGGCAACTCACAAAAGTTATGTTACTGAATCATTCTTGAATCATATCACTCTTCTCTTGGGGTTACTACCTATAAAGCAATTACATTTGGCAAAGATATCAGGAAGGCATAGGAATCCAGAAAAAAAAAAAATCTATGTTGAACTAGTAACCTTGGTTCTAAGTGGTACAGCAGTTTATCCTGAAGAATTCTACAAATCTTCTTATCCTGCACAGTTATCATGAGTAGAACATTTAAAAATGTTCTTACCAAAAATAAAAATTCAAAGAAAGAATTTCCCCTGTAGTTAATTGAAATTAATCTGTAATTCCAAATATTCACATTCACTATTTCCATACTATTGTTTAGCAGCACTTTGGGTTATATATATGGTAGCCTATATCCCAACCCTGACCCCAGAGAATACAGCCATAGAGGTCTCCTCAACTGTGCAAGGAGGTAGCACATGCCCTAGAAATGAGACAAATGATGCATTCTGCTCCCAAGCACATGGCAAGTTTTTACAAAACCAGTTCGTGGTCCTTCAAATAACTCTGAAATCCAGTCAAGCCAGATCCTCCAAATACTTGAAATTATTATCCATGAAGCTTTTTTCAACAATACAAGGTAACACCATAACTGGATTAAGAATTGCTCTCCAGCAACTCGCTGTCCTATTAAAATACAGGACTGTTTACCTCTTTAGTTTGTCAAATCCTAACTATTTTCAATACACTCTCGTCTTCCTAAGATTAAAAGTCACAATTCTAAGGCATTTATCATTGGAAAGCAGAGTAATAGGAGAAAAGTAATTGTTCTGGCTGGATGACATAAAAGATGGGAAAAAAAAAACAGTATGTTACGAAGTTCATAAAGAGCTCGGGATAGTGGCACAGGTCTAAACTCTCAGCTACTAAGAAACTGAGGAAAGGGAAGTTCAAGGCTAGCTTAGGCCAAATAACAGTACTGTCTCAAGTCAACAAATAAAAATATTTCACACAAAAACAACATCCATGAAGTAAATTATCTTTGCAAGCCAAATACAAGCACAGCTCAGACCATCTTGGCTGAAGACAAGTCTACCAGTCAGTTATGACAGAGAGAGAAATCTTACTGTTATCACGTGTGCTTCACAATTATCACAGGGACTGGGCTGAGTAAATAAGTTTTCTTTCCAGAGGATGTTGGAAAGACCAAGATGGAGGAGTTCAAGTGATTTCAGCCATATGCACTGAGTGAAAGAACGCTAGGCAAGTTACTTGAGCTGGTCAGAAAGTACAATACAACATAGCTCTATCTGAGACTCCTCACCTGACTGAACACTGTGTTGCAAGCATTCCTACAGTCTCTTGGCTGCGTGGATCTTTTGGTGCCGATTCAGGTGGGAGCTTAAGCTGTAGGCTTTCCCACACTCGCCGCACTCATATGGTCTTTCTCCAGAGTGAACTTTCTGGTGCCGAACAAGGTGGGAGGTTCGGATGAAATCTTTCCCACACTTGCTGCACACAAAAGGCCTTTCCCCAGTGTGAACCCTTTGGTGTACTATAAAATCAGAGCTTCTACTGAAAAGCTTCCCACATTCAGTGCATTCAAAATGCTTTGTCTGGGTGTGAATTCTCTGATGTTTAATGAGGGTGTATCTGTGCCCAAAGGATTTCCCACAAACACTGCAATCATAAGGGTTTTCTCCAGTGTGGATACTTTCATGCTGAACAAGGGTAGATTTGTGTCTGAATACTTTCCCACAATCACTGCACTTATAAGGCCTCGATCCACTGTGAACTCGCCGGTGTACTATGAGGTTGGAGTGATGGCTAAAGTACTTCCCACATTCCGTGCACTTGTACGGCGTTTCTCCAGTGTGGATTCTCCTGTGCTGAGCGAGGTTGTCTTTGCGACTGAAGGCTTTTCCACATTCACCACACTCATACGGTCTTTCTCCAGTGTGGATCCTCTGGTGCTGGACGAGTGTGGCTTTGCGGCTGAAGGCTTTCCCACATTCCCTGCACTCAAAAGGCTTTTCTCCACTGTGGATCCTCTGGTGCTGCACCAGGGTATCTTTGCGGTTAAAACCTTTCCCACACTCACTACACTTATAATGCATTTGTCCAACATGAAAGCTGTCTTCACTCTCATTGCCCCCTGCTATCTTCTGGCTATAGGTGACCTTTTGTCGGGCAACAATCGGACTGTCCTGAAGGTTCCTCTGCTCCACCTCAAACGCAGAAGGCTTCTCTGAAGAGTAAGGCTCTTCATGACCTTTGAAATTCTTAACTAATGAGGCTTCGCCTTGATTATTTTGTGAAGAATTCTCTACAGTGTTATGCTACAGGTTCTGGCAAAAGCTTTCACTTAACCAGAACTGTTTCTCACATGCCATGCAGGAACACGTTATAAGTGCAGTGTGTGTTCCTTGGTGTTCGTCCACATCTAAAAGACCATTCAAAATGGGGCCACATACGTCACAAGGGTAAGTTGTCTGTGTGAAGAAAGAAGCTGCCTTGAGAGTGTTAACATGTGGCGCTCCAAGAGAAATGCTTGGTTCAGGAAGGTCTTCTTCATCCTTCATTGCACACCAACAACCTGAGGGCGGAAAAAACAGTGAAATCTACAATAATGCTGTGATAAACATATGACTAAAAGCAAGCTGGGGAGGAAAGGGTTTATTCAGCTTATTCTTCTACATCATTGTTCATCACCACAGGAAGTCAGGACAGGAACTGAAATGTCACAGGAACCTCGAGGCAGGAGCTGATACAGAAGCCTTGGAGGGTGCTGCTTACTAGGTTGTTTGGTCCGCTTTCTTATAGAACCCAGGACCATCAGTCAAGGGATGGCACTACCCACAATGAGCTGGGGCATGCTCAATGATCACTAATTTAAAAAAAAAAAAAAACATGTCTTACAGATGATTCTTACAGAGGCATTTTCTCAGTTGAGGTTCCCTTCTTTCAGATAACTCCAGCTTGTGTCATATTGACATAAAACTAGCAAGCACGTAGGTTAAGTGCATAGGGAGGCTGACGAGACAAAAGTACAATCAGTTTGATAGTACTCTATATAATGTTGGGATCCAGTGAATATAGAATAGAGAAGACTGTCAGATAAGACACAAGAATGATGTTAGTCCAAGGAGAAAAATTAGTCTCCATAGTAGTGCTCTGAAAATGACTTCTAGAAAGGCTTTGACTGCTAGTAAAAGAGCAGAGTTATGTATAAGCGTATGTCCTGGCTTAGGAATTTTTTTTTTAATGACTGGCTTATATTCAAGGACTATTAAAGGATTATATATTCATCTAATGATATTAGTTTTGTCCAATGACCTTAGATCAGTACAATGACCTTAGTTCAGCCCGATACTGGGAAGGACTGTAGAGGGAACAACAGAAGATACTTGCACTAGAGGTGTGGAGAGAAAAGCCCGGGGTCAGAAATTAGAACAGAAATAACAAAAGGAGTAGATGGAAAGGAAAAGACCACAAGAAGGTCTGTCCTCTGGCGCTGGCATCAAACAGTAGTTTCTGATACTATCTGAAAAATATTTGAAAGCCATGCCCTCTTCTAGATCTTACTTACTTGAGTTGATCCAAGTCCCTTCTGCTGTGCTTAGAGTCATCACCTCTCAGCCAAGTGCCCAGGACTCTCTTGTTGGCCATACTTCAGGAACCATAAAGGATCTGGAAGACAGAATCACCAGGAAAGGATAGGTGAGTATAAAACTCACCCATGCAAGACTGGAAGGAAAATACAATAAAATAAAGCCTGCCTTGCAGGGACAATCCAGTGAGTTCCACAAACAATGATTATGATGACTGAAATAGTTATTTGCTGATCCAAGAAAACGCTAGATAAAGGAGACAGATCATGGATCCCTGAAGTGTGCTACCTGTGGACAAAGTCCCATCGCCAGGGAGAATGCATCTAGGGTGTGATCTACAGGGATAACCTTAAGGATCTCGATCCTCAAACATACCATGGGTAGTCTTCAGACAGCAAGAATTGGGGAGCAAAGTGAGTGGTAGAGAAAAGTTATTATGTCTGAGGCTTGGCACCCAGAGAACCTATGTGAGGGAATCAGGAAAAACAGTAGTGGCTATGGCCCAACTATGGTAAGGAAAAACAAAGCCCTATAGCTAAAAAGAAATAAAATAAAATAAAAGGAATAGTGCCAGCCCAGAAGCCTAGGACAGCTTTCCTATCCAGGGAGATAGGGAGACGGTAAGTATAATGCATAGAGTGCATTATACCACAATAGTAAAATGTCTCATCTTCATCTAGAAGCTCCCACTTCAAACAGGAAGAATACCTAAATTCACTCTCTTGCTAAGTCACATGATCCTCAGCCAAATGGAAAATTGCTCTCAAGTTTCCTGTTTCTCTTCCTAAACAAAAAACAATACCCATAATAACTCTCAACCTCAGCCAAATCTTTACTTCTCATACCTCACCGGTGAGGTCTCCAGAGATCCCTTCCCCAGGATGCTGGACCAGAATAGCTTGCCAGCTTTCCTGCTGGTTGCAGTGTGAGACACCTTGCATTTAGCATGTCCAAAACCAATTCTTAAACCTTCTAAAAAAATCTTCACCACTGTAACTTACATTTCCAACCTTTCAGATGTTTGTAAAACGGGGAAGTGGGGAGGTGGTGGGACAGCTCATCACTCCCTCCGTGCTTTCAGGACCACATTTGACAGAGCAGGAAATTTTGATGGTTTCATCTCCACACCAATCTCCAGAATTTGATGAATATCTAGAATCCATTCCATGCTTGCTCAACCCTGTGCTAGTCCAGTTACTACCAGAACATTCTAGAGTCAACTGCAATAGCTTCCCGGACTGAGTCCCTGCTTTAGTCCTTATCATCCCAAACCCACAGTAGATTCATTTTTTAATCTTTTTTAAGATCATCTTTCTCCATCATTCAAAATGCTCCTTAGTTCCCAAATGAGGACACAATTCATCTTAAGCAAGTCACATAGGATAGGAACTACTGCTGCAATTTCTGCTGCGGACGGGGCTCAAAAAAGCTGGCATTTTTCGACCGTTCCATGCATGCTGCTCTGGTCGTGTTTTGTTTTGCCATCACATCACCCTACATTCCACTGCTGGTCAGAAACCGCAGTTCTCCCACCCACACTGGTCACCTGCCTAGCAGCCACTTGCGGATTTGTGATTAGAGGGTGAGGATGACAGGAGAAGGTCTGAGAACCTAGGACCCACCTGCGCAGGATTCATGGCCACGGACCTCACCTGCCAGAGCAGCACCAAAGTGGGGCGAGCAGGGACCGCTGCTCGCCTGGCCCAGGAGACCCGATCTCCTAGCTCAGGTTCCAAAGTTTGGCCATAAAGCTGTCAAGATGCCTGACGAGAGGAAGATTCCGGAAGTCCCGCCTAAACGGAAATGCTCCCACAAGAAGCACTGCATTGTGGGTAATGTAGTTCCTTCAGAGAAATTGCCTCAAAGGTCGCTGACTGCAGCATCAGTTGGGGCTTAAACAGTGTGACTTGACTTAAAGTTCTGGGAAAGTTCCCAGACCATCGCTGGGACAAGCGGGAACACCTTTATCTGAGAAGGCCCGCACCCAGAGAACAAGGAGTGCAAATACTGAGACAAATTACTTCAGATGTTCCCCTAATGGAACACACACATCAAAATCACTAAGGTTATTAACTGCCCGCACTTATATTCTTCATTGTTAAAATAAGTAAAATATAAAGCTTTAAGTTAATTGTTCATGTTTCAACGGTGACCTCATGTGAGAGGCACACACTGAAGAGGGTGGATATGGAGTTCTAAGCCAGCCTGAGCTATATATCAAGGCTTTGTCCCCGCCCCCAACTAAAATTAAATTAAAAAAAATAAATACTACAGAAATGGATAATTCGTGAAAATATTGAGTGTCGCCAGAATGGTGAATATGAAGACAGTTGTTATACTATTGTGCTTCTTTATGTCAAATTGCTACCTCCAAAAATATTTAGATTGTGATTCATAGCAGAACAAAAATTACACTTATGAAGTAGCAATGAAATAACTTTATGATTGGGGGATCACCAAAACATGAGGAATTGTATTAAAGGGTTGAAGCATTAGGAAGGTTGAGAACAACTGATTTACAGGGTTTTGTTTTCTTGGTGTCCTCCATCCACTCTAGCTCTTATGTTTTCTTGCCTCCTCTTCAAGCAGGGTTCTCTGAGCTCTGAGGGGAGGAATTTGATGGAGATATTTCATTTAGCGCTGAGTGTTCCAAAGGCTTTTATCCCCTGTGTAGTGTCTGGCTATGGATCTTTCTAATTTTTATGATCTGCTGCAAGAAAAGCTTCTCTGATGTTGGGTGAATAATGCATTGATCTATGGGTATAGGAGTCACTTTATCAGGATTTTTTTTTCTTTTTGTAGATAAGTATTATTTGGTTTTTCCCCAGGTCCATGGGCTATCCAAACTCAGGTTCTTGGTCACCCAAACAGCGTTTTGTGTGGGTTCCATCTCATGAAGTGGACCTTCAGTTAGGTCAGTTATTGGTTTCTCCCCTAAACTTCGTGCCACTATTAAGCCTTGCATACCTTGCAGGAAGTAAGCCATTGTAGATAAATGGTTTGTGATTGGTTTGGTATTTACATTACTGGTTTGATACCATGCAGTGTACCTCCCTCTACTAAAGACACTAGAATGTAGGGGTGAAGGTTCTATGTAGGCATTAGCTCAACTCTCTATGTTCAACAGAGGTGTTGTTTTCAGCAGTGGGGTCTTGCTGCCAGTTTGTGGAGAGCAACTTATACTCATGGCAACAGCCTGGGTTGTTTGAGGATTAACATAGGGCCCCTTTGTTCAATAACAATTAGTTGTAACCCCAGCCTGGTACAGAAAGCTTTGTTGGATGTCAAGAGATGGGCAGCTGGGACTCTGTCTCTACCATTATTTGGTGATTTCATTTACATCACCTTCATATATGTATATGTTTTAGAAGTTTTCACTACATTAGGTCTCCATACTACCCATCAAATGTTCCTATATCAAATGTCTTTCCCTGTATTTCCCCATCCAAATCCCTATCCCCTCACTACCCTTACTTAATCTTCCCATTCCAGAACTTTATCCCTATCTATTTCTTTTATTTTATTTCCATTTCTTAAAGAGATCTGCCTGTTCCCTCTAAACCCTTACTCTATACTACTCTTTGTGTTCCTATGGATTGTAGCTTGGTTACCATGGACTTAACAGATAATATCTATATATAAGTGAAAACACACCATGTTTGTCTCCCTCCATCTGAAATTTCTCACTTATGATGCATTTTTTCTATTTTCCTGCAAAATTAATGCTGTCATTTTTTTAAAAAGAGGTAAGTTGTATTCTATTGTATAAATATACCACATTTTCCTCATTAATTCTTCGCTGAGAGACATGTAGGTTGTTTCCAATTTCTGGGTATTATGAACAAAGCAGATATGGACACGGTTGAGCAAGTACCTTTGTAGTAGGATGAGGGATCTTTTGGGTATATGACCAAAAGAGTAGCTAGAAATAGAGAAAATTTCCATCTTCCAGAGAACCCATTACACTGACTTCCATAGTGGTTGGATGAGTATACACTCCCCCCAGCAATGTGTGAGTGTTCCTCTTACTTCACATCCTCATCAGTAGTCATTCTGATGGTATGAGATAAAATCTTAAAGTAGTTTTGATTTGCACTTCTCTGATGGCTAAGGATGTTGAACATTTTTAAAGTGTTTTTTTTTTAGCCATTACAATAATAGCCCTTTATTGAATATGTAGTTGGTAAAAATCTTTTCCCATTATGAAGACTGCAGCTTTCTCTGAATGATAGTGTCCTTTGCTGTGCAGACACTTCTCAGGTAAATGAGGTTCCATTTATTAACTGTTGGTTTTAGTGCTTTTGCTAAACTCTGCCAGCTGAGAGAGAGAGAGAGAGAGAGAGAGAGAGAGAGAGAGAGAGAGAGAGAGAGAGAGAGAGAGAGGGGAGGAGAGGAGAGGAGAGGAGAGGAGAGGAGAGGAGAGGAGAGGAGAGGAGAGGAGAGGAGAGAGAATGAGAAAGAGGCTTTGGCCTCTTATTCAGGTATTTCCTCACATACCCTCCAATAAACACTCCTCCTTTTGGGCAAGTCACTCTTACAATTGGCTATCAGACCAATGGCAGAATTCCAGCAATTCTGGATATTTTGTGTCAATTTTTAGACTTTTGTTTGAATGGAGTATCCATTTATTCTGTTGTGTCTTTAATGCCTGAGATTCTTTATTTCATCTCTTGTATTTTGTTGGTAAAGCTTACCTCTATGGTTCCTGTTGAGTTCTTAAATCTTTCATGTCTGGATTTCCTTCATTTTGGGTATTCTTTATTGATTCTATTTGCATTTTCATGTCTTGAATGGTTTTACTCATTTCCTTCCACTGTGTTTTCATAGATTTCTTTACGGGGTTTAAACATATCCTCTTCATGGGCCTCTATCCTATTCATAAAGGCTGATTTAAGGTCTTTTATTTGTGCTCCCATCATGTTGGAATATTCAGGGCCAGCTCAAGTAGGGCTACTGGACTCTAGTGGAGACATACTGTTCTTTCTGGCTGTTGATTTGTGTTTTTTATGCTGCCTTCTAGGCTTTTTTGTTTGAGAAGACTGTAATTCTAGTTGTGGTTATCTAGTGTTATCTTTGTTGGGTGGGTGTATTCTCACTTGGTTTCTGTTTTCTCACTTGTTCCTAGGATATTGTGGTTTGTGTATTACCTGTAGAAAAAAATCTGGGGTCCTGACAGGTGTGGACCTTGTTTGTACTCGGTAAAATAAGTTTCTAGGTCTTGGGTGCTGACCCTTAGGAATAGGGATTGACTTGGGGGAGGTCTCAGGGAGCAAGAGACCAAGGGTCTGCTTAGTTAGTCCCCTGGGAATGGGAGTAGAGAGTGCAGAAAGGACATAGCAGAAGGTCTGTACAGAGCTTGGGATAGCACCAGGGGATTTGACATGGAGAACTGGAGAGAGATGAAGATCTACACTTAGTCTACCTGCTTTCCTGATTAGAGCAGCTTGTGTGTTTGCCGGAAGTGCCTGCCGGAAGTTAGGAGGGAAAGATCTGTGGGATCGAGCAGAGATGCAGTGGTGGTGGAGCAGCTGCTGCAGCTGTTCTGTTGCTTAGCTGGGGATGACGGTGAAGGACTGGGCTTGGAGGAATGGAGGGAGAGGTGAAGATCTGCAATTAGCTTCCCTGCTTCCCTGGCAAGAATTGCCTGTGTGTTCCCAGGGAGTGGCAGATTACCTTAGTGTGTGTGTGTGTGTGTGTGTGTGTGTGTGTGTGTGTGGTGTGTGTAAGTTCATGATGAACTTCCATACTCATAGCAACAGCACTAATTTCAATTTACATTCCTGCCTACAGTGTACAAAGTCTCCTCTCTGCTGCATGCATCCTTACCATTATTTTTGTTTTCAATGATAGTCATTCTGATTGGGGTGAGATAGAATATCAATATTGTTTGCATTTGCATTTCCTTCACAGCTAAGAATATTGACCCAGTGCATCATCAATATGGGAATGAACGAACAAAGTCCAGAAGGGGGAAGCTGCTATACAACTACCAAGCTTGATTGCTCCTGAATGGGCAATTTTTTGCTTCTGCCATGACTTGAAGTCACCAGACTGCAGATCATTCAACATTCATTCACTCATTCATTCATTCAAGGCAGGTTCTGATTAAGGCTGGCTCCAAACTCACAAAGATCCACTTGCCTCTGTCTCCCAAGTCCTGGGACTAAAGGCATGTGCTACCATACCAGGCTTCAACTTTTAAATGGGAGACTCAAACTATAGTGACTCTCTAGGGAGCTCCTAGGCCTTCAGCTTTGGACTGGCATTGAAGCATTGGCCCTATTGTTCTGAGTGTTCCAGGTTCTTAGAGACTGGGCAACAACTGATTTTCTAGGCTTCCTGGCCATGGTGGAACTAATTAGTTAGCCTTTGTTTAAATCAATTTAATCTTACTCTCCTTTTAACTGCATATCCATCGTCTATTGGTTCTATTCCCATAATAACTGTAATATGATAATAGGTCATAAGGTAAGTTCAATGACATCAAGAAAAGGCAAAATAAAAACAAAGAAAAACAAAACCAAATCAGAAAGTAGAGATATATCAAAATTCAGGACTGGGATATCGCTTAGCTAGTGAGTATATATCTAGCAAGCACAGAGCTCTGCATTTGTCCTCCAGCACCACATAAACTGGGCAGGGCTGAACATTTGTGCAATCCCAGCATTAGACAGGCAGAGGCAGGAGAAGTCCAAGATCAGTCTCAGCTAACAAACTCAAGGGCAACCTAGACTACATAAGACTGTCACACACAGACAGAAACTACTTGGCAATAGGTATATATCTATATATGCTGTTAATTGCAATTCATTTGTAAGCATTCATAGGCTTTTCCTCACATAATCCTTACTATTTGCACAAATGAAAATATCCATTACAAAGGCTGAATATATCCTTATGCCCATTTTACATTTAGAGGGATAGATTAAAAAGAGTATTAGGAAACTTAACATAGTTTTAAATACGGATATTAAAATAGTGTTTACATAAATAATTTTGTTAAGATAATTACAACTCAATTAAATTATCTTTAACAAGCAAGGGAAGCAATCAAAAGTTGTCATTTCCTAATGATTTACTTACATATTTATGTACTTCAGGTAACTTGTGACTATTGCATCAATATGATAAAATGAACATGTTATTGCATATCTCTTCCCAACTCAATAGGTGATAATATCACTGTGGCAGTTTGGAATTGGCCATGGTGGGACTGCAATTAAATATTCAAACCAGTACTAGCTTGTTGTGAAATGGGTAGACTTACAAGAAATGTTACCAATGCAGACAACGTTTAACGAATCCAGTGCCTGTGACCATCACACCATGAATTAAGGGGAAAAACTGCTAAAATACTGTGGTTGTATTCAAAAACATTTCCCACCATTTACCAAGGACCAGTCTATCAACCACTAAAGAATGAATGAATGAAGTCTTAATACATATTGTTAGTGTGCATCTATTTATTAATGAAAAGGACAATTACACCAATTTCCACTCAAAAATACACAAAACCAAAACGTTTTAAAAACATACAAGTTGACAAAAAAACACATAACAATACTCAATATCACGAAACACCAAAAAAAGCAAGTAAGACTATACTCTATGTTACTATACATCTATTTAAATGGATCAAATGGCTCAAAGCAAACACATTATCCATACCAAACATTAGCAAGAGTGAGGACAAGTGAGTTCAACAGCTGTCTAGATTAGTGATTCTTAAAACTGTGCATCATGCCCCTTTGGGGATGAACAACCCTTTCAAGGGGTTGCTAAGACCACCAGAAAACACATATTTACACTACAATTCATGACAGTAGCAAAATTACAGCTATGAAATAGCAACAAAAATAATTTTATGGATGGGGGTCCCCACAACATGAGGAACTCTATTAAAAGGTTGCAGCATTAGGAAGGTTGAAAACCAACCAATGGTCTATATCAATCTAGATTAGTCTGACAATTTCATAAAAATGGAAACATTCACATATATTGAGTTACTGGCTCAAGAGAAATAAACCATATGCAAAATGAGTAATATACCTTTATTCATTGTGGTCTTATATATAACAGCACAAGAAAGGATTCAACTTAAGCATCCATCAAAAGCTGAATGGACAAAAACAGATCGATGGGTAGTGTTGTAATTATAAAAAACAAACACAGTAGAGCAATAGAAAGACTAAGGTATTAAAGAAGCAGCAGTGATAAATCTCAAAATAATTATGTTTTGCCAAAAATACCTAGGAAAAAAGCAACTTTTGTTTTCATTCACAAACTATGCTCTTGTGAGTCAAATAGTGAGCACTTAAAAGTCTGGGAAAAGGGGGAAGATTCTAACAGGTTATGAGGTAAATCACAGGCAAGGCCATCATCACACACACGAGTACACGACTTGTCAAAAAATAAACCATAGAGATGACTGCATTTCACTACTACATTAGTAAACTTTACAAAAAGTGACTCAGAATACAGAACTCGGAACTCATACTTTCTGGAAAGCAGGAGGCTTGGTAGCATCATTTTGATGCAACTCTGTCCTCATGCATAAATAAGGGCAGCCCTTCATTAATGCAAGAAATTATGACAAGCAGTGATGGTGGCCTACCACGTTGCAAATACAGCAGCTGGACTGTGATTACAATAGCTACATTCCTGGACTACGGGATCGCCATCTCATTTTCATATCTCCATAGCAACAGAATGGCAGTACATAATCAAGAAAGACCACACTATCCCACAAAACTTTAGACTTTTTTTTTTTTTTACAATGATCTCGACTATTGTACATAAACAGATTTCTAGGTGCTGTGAAGACAGCAAAAGACAAAGACTGTACTTTTACAAGAGGCACATTCCATCTGGCTGGCTGCAGACTCTTCCATACCCACCGCTTGTATGTCAGTGATGGTTCCCATCTAGATATGGTCATCCAGTGAGTGACACCAGCCTGTGGACTGATTGGTATTGGGCACATTCTCTGTAGACCTTTACAAGCTGTCTCTCCTCTGTGTCATGGGCATTAAAAGGACATCTTCTGAGAAAAATAAAGCAAATTCATTCCATTCCCACAAGTTCAGGAGCTTGTGGCAACAGCAGACCTCGCCTCGGGATGACCACAAAAAGTTCCCAAGTCATAAACTACAGTAACAAAGTCCCTCCAGCTCCCGGGCAGTAATAAAAATTTGCTTTTCTCCTTTGCTGTCCCTGCAGAGGTATACCAAGTTGAGACATCCACACAAACTGTCCATCCTTTCCTAGAAAACTCAGTCTGTGTTTTCCAGTCTTCCCACTAGTAAACTGGACTCTACGAATAAAGGTAGCTTTCAGAATAAGGCATCTATCTATGCACAAACCAGAGCAACAGGAAGAAGGCAGTGGCCAACTGGTAATCGGAAGGTTGGAAACATTCACCGACTGTCATGAGACACTGATTAAAACCTACTCTTTTGAAAAGAAGCAGATAAGCAAAATGTAGCCACCTTCAGCATAGGGTAGATTTCCTGGTAAAAGCTGAGTTGTAGCCATGCTTTAAACAGCTAAAAATCAAACTGGTTCAGGGCAAAGCAGGTCCCGAGACTACCCATGCCTGAACTCCTGAGTAATCTCAAACCTCTGGGTGTGCGCAGAATTAAGATCAACCTCAGAAGATTCTCTAGTGTCATAATACTAAAAGAGGGCATTCCCTGTAAGTCTAAGGCTTTTCTCAAGTATAAACTTGGAGGAGCTAAATGATGCTAGGCCTTGGGATGAAGGCTTATCCACATCTGCTACTTTCATGAGGTTTCTGACGCACCGTGACATTTTTGGTGATGAATGAGGCTAGAGCACTGGCTAAAGGAATTGCCGCACGTGTCACATTCGTAAGGCCTTTCTCCAGTGTGAACTACCTGATGCTGCATGAGACCAGACTTCTGGCTAAAAGACTTTCCACACTGGCCACACACATAGGGCCTTGCCCCTGTGTGAATTCTCCGGTGTTGAATAAGGATGGAGCTTTGACTGAAGGATTTCCCACATTCAGTACACTTGTAAGGCCTTTCTCCAGTGTGAACTCTCTGGTGTTTAATAAGGGTAGCTTTTTGGCTAAAGGATTTCCCACACTCGTTACATTCATACGGCTTTGCTCCAGTGTGAATTCTCCGGTGTTGGTTAAGAATGGCACTTTGACTAAAGGAATTCCCACACTCACTACACTTGTAAGGCCTTTCTCCAGTGTGAACTCTCTGGTGTTTAACAAGTGTGGCCTTTTGACTAAAGGATTTTCCACACTGGCTACACTCATAAGGTCTTGCTCCAGTATGAGTTTTCTGGTGGTCAACAAGACTGGAGTTCTGTCTAAATAATTTTCCGCATTCACTACACTCATAAGGCCTTTCTCCAGTGTGTATCCTACGGTGATCATTCAGGTGGGAGGTTTGGCTAAAGAGCTTCCCACAATCACTGCACTCCCAAGGCCTTTCTCCAGTGTGGACTCGCTGATGCTGGTCAAGTGAGTACTTGCCACGGAATGTTTTCCCACATTTGCTGCACTCATAAAGCTTTTTCCCATAAGAGGCTTTTGGCTGGTCAACGACTACTTGCTTTTGACTGGAAGGCTTCCCACAGTCTCCTGACCTGTGACTCTCACGACTGTGAGCTTCTTTCCCACCCTCAGTGCTTTCGCTGGGCTTCTTACTGTTGGGAAGGACCTGGGACTTCAGAAGGCTCAGTATGTCTGGCAGGTCCTTCTCAACATCCCAACTGGGGAAGGACTTGGCTGACATAAGGAACAGGCATCGTTTCAAGTACGAGGCCTTGTCAGCGTTCTTCTTCAAGGGATTTTCTGTACTAGTATGTTTTTGGTGCTGATCACATTTTGAAGATACCTCTACACTATGTTTCTGCCCAGGTAGATCTGGCAGGTGCAAAATGTCTTGAAGAATCGGGACACACTTTTCACAGAGGTGAGCTTTCGGTGCAGATGGAGTTGTCTCAGATCTCCAAGCCTGGGATGCTCGTGTAGAAACTTTTTGCTCTTCAGCTTCTGTTCTATGACCACAACCTGAAAGAGAATACTGCTGAAATGCACGTTGACTATGCTCGGAGGAGGAAGCCCCATCATCCATAGATGCTACACAAAGCTTCTCCTGAGGACAAGGGAACTAACTATAGGGGTGGCTTAAGGGAGGAGTTGCATTACCACATCAGGTCACTAAAGACAACAGAATTAGGAAGGTCTGACAAAATGAAGGCCACCAAGATAGTATGAACTACAAGGGAAAGATGTCTAAATCTTCTACCCATGGCCTTAAGCTACTATAACAGTAGCCAGACACACCACAGAGTAGCCTCCGAAGCCCTAGGACTTCCTGCTCAGATTGCAGCAGGATATTCATCTGCTCGTGTTAAGTCTTAAGTGCTGCAGAAGGCAGGCTGCTTGCAAGACTGGAGAACTCGTGCCAATCAGAAATGAAGAGCATGCGCTCAGCTTTACGTGGAGGTCATAGTGGAATCAGCAGAGGGATAGCCCAGTACACAGGAACAGGGCATGAATGGAGGCCACGCGGTGTACCCAGGGGCCAGCGATCATAGCGAAAACAAGAAGTTAGAAAAAACAAAACAACCAAAACCCAAACCCACCATGCCTGGGGAAGAGACTATGAAAATGAGGCTTGGTGGTAGCACTTGCACCTGAACCATGGTGGATACAGGATATTTTTGAAGACAGCCTGGAAGTGTACCTTCCTCTAGCTGTCACTTACCACACTCGGGCCTCCTATGAAGGAAAACTCCATGGTTGACTTTTCAAAAGAACATTCCTCCATGTGACCATATGAAACATGGTCCAGAGGAAAGAACAGACATAACAAGTGGCTAGCAGTGATACAGTATCTCACAAGAGATCACCACAGATCTCAGGATAGGAAACGCTAGCTTTGAATACTGAAAATGAAGGATCCAGTAAGAACGGTCCATGGTACCAGAACAGCAGCCAGCCAAAGGCAGCCTGAGAAAGGCCAGTTAGTCAAGGGGAAGGACTTGTGATGCCAAGTCCTTAGGCACAGCCAGAGCGAGACAAGCAAGATGACACCCATTAATTAGGATGACCACAGGATGCCGCTCCCATAACTCAGTAAGAAGCAGGTGTTAGGGTTACATAGGGAGTGATCTACTGCGGATATTAGGCATAGCTCAATGCTACCATGCACAGCTTATATACCCAGAATATGCAGTAATTAGCAGCTGTCCAGGTCTGGCTGTGGGAAGGATGAGTCTGTCTCTAGGGCAACAGGGCAGAGGGTCTCAGGATACTAGGGGAATGTAAAAGCCTTACCCAAGGAGTTTATAAGTGCAAAGTTCTGCAACGTAACACTGAGATACAGGAGCCTCTGAGTCTTGTCAAGGAGTCTCCACTCTTCATGGGAGAAGCAAATGGCCACATCCTCAAAGCTCACACAGCCCTGCTAGAACAGGGACAGGTTATTCCACAGTCAGCTTTACCCCGTGTGCCAAGAATACCCAGTAATTTACCCATTCTCTGTCCTCCCTCCTCCCCACACTCCTACCTCAAAGCATCAGCAGATCCCAATGCCATTGGTAGCCGTTACAGCCCAATAGTTCCAGCAAAAGACACACAATGATACCATCTAAACTAGCATGTAGGGATATACTTGTTCTCGTCAAACAGTTTCTCAGAGGTCCTCCTGATGGTCCCTCTTAGATACAACAATCAGATGTAAATTCACCCTTCGCCCTGATACCCTGACAATTGTCCGGAATGCCATAAGCAATCCAGGTTCCTGTTCCAAAGGCCCATCTGTTCTTTGCTTCAATCATCGCTACCCGGGACCACTTGCAGTCTCGCATAACACTGTCTTCTGCTGATCTTCACATCCCCTAGACAATCACAGTCTTGCTTTTGTTCTTAATCAGTTCTAATAAGTGGTTCAAAACGTCAATGACTCTCTATTCCATATTCATTAAGTCACAGATGCAGATTTGTGTCCCTAAGATTACCTGTCTTCCTAAATGAAATTCCATAGACATAGAGGACCACAACAAAATCGCATTAAGCTTATAGGATGATGAATAGGCACGACTCGTGGTGCCTGGGTTTGGGTGCTCTATCAACACTATCCACTGGGTGGCTTACTAAAACAACACAAATGTATTTCTCACTGATCTGAAGGCTTGATGTTGGATATCAAGGAGCAGTTATTGGCAGTTTCTGGTGAAGGCTCTGTTCCACGGTTATAGACCACTGATTTCCACTGGTATTTTCAAATGGTGGGAAAGAACATTAGCTAGTTTCCTGGCATGTTTTTATAAAAACACTCACTAATCCTACATAAAAGGCATCTATCCTCATGATCTAATTACCTCTCGAAGGCCACACACACAGATTAGGATTCAACAACTAAATTTTGAGGAGATAAAACCCTTCAGTCCTGGCTTCAGGCCACCTTCTACTTAGTGTTGCTGACACTGTGACTACCTTACTGCTTTATGCCTTAGAGACTTTGACCACACTCTTTATTGTGTCCACTTCTCTCCACTTCTCTCACGATTGTGTTTCTAATGTCTATCACTTCTACCTAGGTATCTGAGACTCATTCACAGCCCTACCTTTCCTGAGCTGTCATTACCAACTATGAGAAACAGAACCACTCCTAATTACAATAAAAAATCACCTCTGTGGCTAAATACTGACCAGTGTCTTTTTGGATGTATCCATCTTAAGCTACTTCCCAAATTCCAGATCTATAATGTCATCCACCCACATGATATCTTCCTTTATTGATCTTTGAAATAACTTAGAAGTAGCGAAAAGCAATTAATTAAAAAATCCTCAATGAAAATGAACCTGAATCCCAGCTTTATATACCATCTGACCAAGTTTTCATCCTTCAAGATCTAAAGTCCTAGATCAGCAGTTCTCAACTTGTGGATTGCGACCCCTCTGGGGACTGAGCTGTCCTTTCACAGGGGTCCCCTAAGACCATCAGAAAACATACAACTTCAAATTACAACTCATAGCAGAAGCAAAATTACACTTACAAAGTAGCAGTGAAAGTAATTTTAGGGTTGGGTGTCACCACAACACAAGGGTCTGTATCAAAGGACCACAGCATTAGGAAGGCTGAGAACCACTGTTCTAGAGCTAGAACCAATATTTGACTATTACCTTCCCTTCTTTAAAATCCGAGACCCTACGCAGCACTAATTTCAAAACTAATCTAGACTCCTACCACTTCCTCTACCTTCGTTCTGGTCTAGTTACTATTAACACTCACCTGGACTATTAGAGCAGCATCCTCCATGGGCATCTTATTGTCTCCCTCACAACAACTGGGTTCTCCATGCTCCCGAAACATGGAGGCTGATGTGGCTAACATCAGCTCCCCTCCCTTCCCGCCCCATCCCTGTTTCTAAATGTCCTCTTGCTCTCATCACTCTAAACCAGACACTGAAATTCATTCTATGTCTGATTCCCACCCTGCTGCTTTCATTCAGTTCCCACAGAAGGAAACACTTGGGGGTGGAGGACTCTATGAAGGATCTCCAAGCGTTTACACATTCCAATGCCTGGCTCAATCTCATTATATAGTTTGTTACCATTGGGAACAACTCCAAAGAACCCCCAACACTGAATCAGGACCCTGTGCTTGGGTTTGTTAAGGGTCCTTTGACCCAAGAAATGGTCATGAGAAATGACAGTCTGAAACATACTCTCCTCACCTGCACAAGGGCCATATCCAATTCTGCAGTGATGGATACCTGTGAGAAGAGAGATATCATGAACAATGGTAAGGATCCAAACCCTTGGGTCTTCCTATACACTCTCCCAACAAGGAACAAAATGACCAGGGGGATGTCTTCGATACATCTGTTACCTGTGGGGCCCTAATGACCCAACCCACACAGTGAGCAGCTTTTTGGAAAACCGAAAACCCACACTCAAGTCTGTGTGATTTTGTCTTTTCTCTGTACACAATTCTTATGTCGTAGGGATAAGGATAAACCTCTTCATCTTACTATTACAGCTTAAATATTCCAGGCTGCAACATCAGTCCAAGAAATTCCACACCCTGGGGCCCTGGCTGTCACACACTCTGCCACGTCTCATCACAGTGGCTTGACACATAAGAACCCCGAATCACGAACAAGGATTTAGGGCGAAGCGACTTAAGTGGACTCCTACACTCAGACTTTACAAGATAAGAGATGAGAGCAAGGGAGCCTCAGATGTCGCAGCACTTACCTAAGCCTGGTGCCTGTGCGCAGCCATCCAACTGGGCGAGCACAGACCGCAGGGTATGGGGACGGGGACTTGGGCAAAGCTGTCGCCGCCAGCGCCCGATGTGCGATGAATACTACCTCTAGAACCGCTCCTTCAGACTCTTCGTCCCCTATCTCTGGACAAAGGGGTCCTGCACACGGTCAGCTATAACGGACCCAAAAACCGCTAAAATGAGCGCCACAGAGAGAAGCCGGAAGTCCCGCCCCATCCTACCAGTAAGAACGCGAAAATGGTACCGTTCCAAATGCTCATTGGTTCAGTTTTCCTCTCCCTGTGACTAGCGCATTCTGGGTAACGTAGTTTCTTCAGTTGTGCGTGAGAAAGCTGTAGACCCCCCCATCACCTGGAACAAAGGCTAAGCGGGATGCTGGGAAATGTCGGCACGGACGGAAGCAAACAAGCCTTTTCCAGCTATTTGTTTTCTGTTCTGTTTTCCTACTTCGTAGTCTTGGGGCACCCCAGTGTTTTCCAACCAGGGTGCCAACAGAATACCCCAAAGGGCTGTAAGTAAGCTACATTGGAGGGCAACGGGCTGTGTTTGGCTGGAATAGCAGGGCCTGAGGGAGCAGAAACTTCTTCACTTTTGTGTCCAGATGCTGGACAGACATCCTGATGGAAGCCAATGCCTAGCCTCCAGAACCGGCTGTGGGCCCTCAGCCTCCCAATCCACTGCTGGAGAATATCTTGGGGGAGTCTCATCTATATCTTGAGGTGTGTTACACTAGAGCCCTCCCATGGTATTCTGACCGCCGCCCCCCTCCATTTTTCATGATGCTTAAGTTGTCCTCACTTTCTGTCCCCTCAGCGAATGCATTACAGATCACACATGGCTTCTTAAACTTCAAATATACATTCAGAAGCTAGGGAGTTAGCTGAATGTCCTGGATCTCATGAGGCGCATAGATGCATCTCTAGAAAAGCAGGATGAGTGTGGGGTCCCCAAGTTCAGCACAACTCCCTCTCCTCTGAGAGCAAAGACCTTTGCAAACAGACTCTGCCTGGCACCTGCACAAGTGGTCAGCTGTAGCCACCATTTTAGTCATAAACTAAAGTGAGATGTAGCCACAGTCCACAACTGCCAAAAGACAAAGCTGAACAGAGTTTAAGCAATTCTGAAACTTTCAGTTTGGGAAAAAGTTGTTTCTCTGCATTTGTGTATTCAGCATCGGTCCATCTCTGGACAAAACAAATATCTAAAGTTGTCCCCTCAAGATGATGATGTACAACATGTAATTCCAGTAACCGGTAGGCAAGAGAATCATTAGTTTTGGGCCAGCCTGGCTACATAGCAAAACCTTAAGTCAAACAAAGCAACAAAAGTAACAACAAATACCAACAGCAAAAGGCAACTCAACAGGTTGAGTGTGGAAGGAACTATGGCCATGGTGAGCATGGAGAACAGGGCTCTAGCAGGCCTTGCTCCTCTCTCCCGTTCCCTCTACCTTGCTAAAAGCCATTAGATTGCATTCTTAAAGCTTGCCCGCAGGGTCTATTCTTGTATTTGGTCACTTCCTCCTTTTGAGGTTGACTACCAAGGTCCAGGTATCAAAGTACCTAAGTTACAAATATCCCCATCCCTTTCCTTCTCCCTCTTCCTTCTGTCTCACATTTCTTTCTTATTCCCTGCCTTCTGTCCTTCTGGGGCGACATTTCCTTTGTGCTGAGAATTTGGCCTTGAGGGTCCTGAGTTGATCCTTCTTTTCAAGTGTCCTTTCCGAGTGACTCAGTTGGTCTAAACTTCTCCCAGGCAGCTGGGCTGGATTCTGTTTCTTCTTGGCAGCTAGTTTGGGCTCCATCTTCTTTGCAGCCTGGCTTGTTTACACTTGGGAAGAAGGCGCCTAGGGAATCTGCTCAGTGTCAAGGATTTCCTGAAGCTGTTTTGACTTGTCTCAGCTTCCTCCCAGCATATGGATGGAATGTTTTAATCTTACAGTTAACAGTCACCCAGCAAAGCTATATATGTATCCCTAAACAGTACAAGGAGGTTGTAGAAATAAATGAAGGCTTGGTCACTAGACTTGTGAGGAATGTTTGCAAACGTCAGAGTTCACTTGTTTTGCTGTAAAGCTTTTCCATTTCCTGTTTACCACACCCAGTATTATATTTCCAATTAGGGATCACATCTGGTTCTTACCAAGCCTGAATAAAACTATCATATGTGAATTTCTAGACAGGTCATATGACTCCTTATATAGCAGGCGAAAACCCCCCCTTTACAGTGTCACAGATGAACAAATTCATGTTATCACTAGAAGGGCTGAAACAATAAACCCTTTTCAGTGATCCCGGTTTCACCAAAATGAAAGCATGGAGGCCACAAATTTAGACCACAAAACCCTACATGCCCAGGTCTTAGACAGAGAACTAAATGAAGGAAGAAATGAGAAATACTTTTGACTCTGCTGTACCTCCAAGACAAAATGAGATCCCCACAAAAGCTGTTGATCCATGCAGAGTTGAAGTTTGTCTCCTCCCTGAAAGACCATTGGAGAGGACTTCCCTCGAGAGGAGACTCCCCCGAAGCCAAGGAACAGGCCGAGACCACAGGGATGCAAATAGCAAGAGGTTTATTGGGTAAACACAGGTACCTGTGGGCGACAAAGTCTTTAGGAGGGCTTGTGAGCCTGCAGACTGGGGGAAGGTCTTTTTATAGGAAAGAGGGCGGCCAAAAAGCAAATTACAGTAGCAGATGCATGGTTATTGGTCTGATTAGAATGGGGCAGGGGGCATAAGTGGTTTTTCCTTCTCCAGCATAGATTCATGGCGACAGACATCCTGTCATAAATATCCTGCTTTGCAGCCAGAGGCCCTGACCTCACTCTGCACTTACATTTGTTTGTCAAAAACCTTGTAAAATGATGTTACAGCAGTTAAGCTGGGGTCCTTTAGGGGGAATTGTTTCTTTTGTAAACTGCTGATATTTTAAGTTAGGCACATGTGCTGACTATAGGCATCCTATTTTCCTACGCGACCAGGACGTTCTCATGAGAGCCGGCTAGCTGCAGGTCCTGAGAGGGTCCTGAGGGTCTCAAGCAAACAGGATGTTCTCATGAGAGCAGGCTAGCTGCAGGTCTTGGGGGGGGGTCTATAGGGTCTTTCACTCCCACCGAGAATTTTCAAAAGAATCCCAAAGACTACAGGCAGACCCAACAGTAAACATGTTTTATTACTGCATAGACTAGAGAATGGTAGTCACAAGTTAGTAAATGGAGGGCTGGCCAAATTAACCACAGTATCAGTATGAGACAAAAATTTCTATGCAGGAAAGACAATGCTGGAAAACCCCAACAGATTGAAGACTAGTTCCCCCTGGTTAAAAAAAAAAAAAAATCATGACAGATGTATGTTTCAACCAGTGAGAAAAAAACCAAAGCAAAACAAAAACAATTCTCCCCTTAAGGCTTTGCTCATGATTTCCTCCAGGGAACTAGCAGATGTTCACCTTTCCTTTGCATGTTGAGGAGACCAATGCACAGTGAGCAAGCTGATAGAGGAAGATGGTTTCCACCAGAGAAAATGGCTTGAGTACAGCTCAGACAAGGGCCCGAATCACATTAGCCTGTATGGAGCAGTTCCTGTAAACCCCACCCATGCCTGAACTCACAAGGAATAAAAACACCCTGGATATTTGAAAATATAAGTTTCAACTTCAGGCAAGTAGTCCCATATTATAAAGTTAATACTGAAAAAAAAATACAAGAAACAAAAACGAGAACATTTGCTGCAGGTCTGTATCTTCTTGAGCACAGTATAAACTTCCAAGAACTAAAGGATATTAGACCTTGGGCTGAAACTACTTATGCATGTTATTTTCATGAAGCCTCTCCATGGTGTGAGACTTTTCGGTGGAGTAAGAAGCTAGACTGCTGAGGAAAAGATTTCCCACATTTCCCACATTCGTATGGCCTTTCTCCTGTGTGAATTACGTGGTGTTGAAAGAGGTGACATTTTTGGACAAAAGACTTACCACACTGGCCACACTTAAAAGGCTTTAATCCAGTATGAAGTTTCTGGTGTTGCATAAGACCATTGCTTTCTTGAAAAAATTTCCCACATTCTTTGCACTCAAACGGTTTCTCCCCAGTGTGAGATCTATGGTGTCGAACAAGCCTAGATTTATAAATGAATGCTTTCCCACAATCGCCACACACATGACGGTTTTCTGCACTATGAGTTTTGTGGTGTTTGTTGGGCGTGTCTCTTTGGCTAAAGGATTTCCCATTCTCATCACACTCAGAAGGCCTTGCTCCAGTGTGAATCTTCCTGTGTTCAAGCAGATTACGGCTGTGCGCGAAAAATTTCCCACATTCATCACATGCACAACGCTTTTCATTTGCATGAGTTCTCCGGTGCCGAACAAGAGTTGATTTGCATCCGAAGGATTTCCCACATTCATCACACTCATAAGGTCTTTCTCCAGTGTGGATTCTGCGGTGTTCGGTAAGGTTGGAAATTTGCCTGAAGGATTTTCCACACTCATCACACACATAGGGTTTTTCTCCCGTGTGGACTCTGTAGTGTTTTATGAGGGTATCTCTTTGGGTAAATGATTTTCCACACTCAGCACATTCATAGGGCTTTTCACCCGTGTGGATTCTGAGGTGGTTATTTAAGTGGGAGGTCTGTCGAAAAGATTTTCCACATTCATTGCACTTGTAAGACTTTTCTCTACCATGGGCTCCTGAGGGATGAGTGAAAGAGTTTTTGCGGCGGTGGACCTTCCCACATTTAGTAGACTCAGAAAGTCTCTTTCCAGGACTGGCTCTTGGGTGGTGATCCTGAGTGTGTTCACGGCTGGTGGCTTCTCTATGTTCACCCCTCGTGGAACACCCTATTCTAGTTTGAAAGCCCTCTCTACATTCAGTGACTAGGTTCGCTTGCTCACAAATGGGGACGGTCTGTGGAGGGATAATGTCCAGTGCATCCGGAAAGTTCTTTTCAACTTCTGCAGAGGGAAAGGGCTTTTGTGACACATGAATTCTGTAGTTCTTCACCAGTGAGGCAATATGTGAGTATCTTTTCAAGGTATTTTCTGAGTTGGGATGATTCTGGTCCTGGGGAAGGTTTAAACACATACTGATCAAATGTGATTTCTGCCTAAGTTGATTGACCAGGTTTAAAATGCCTTTCAAGACCGGCAAGTATATGTCATGTGGGTAAGACTCCTGGTTAGCTGGACTTGCTTTCGGGGTCCTGA